AAGTACAAACCAATATCTAACCAAAATTTTCAGAGAAAACATTATGTCCTCCAGGAGCTTGGCCTCCAGATAAAACCACCCCAATCTTCAAGCTCTAACCCCTTGCAACATCACCTGAGTCATCCGGCACCAATGCTGTTGATGGTTGTCCAAATACGCAAGTAAACAACTTTGCTATCTCCTCTACAATATGTTGGAAAAAGTGCTTGTATTCTGTAATACACTTGAGATACAACAAAAATACAGAATAGATCAGGGAACAAAAACTGGATCATTTGATATCTTCAAGCGTGTAATCACTTTCCTATAAGCTTTAAATCTTCCTCTATAAAAGCAAAGGTTCAAGATTTAATCTCATGAGATACAAGAAGATTAATGAAATTCTCAAGTTGCTTTGTTTGAGAATTTCCTGTAGATTTATAAGACTGTGAAATATCTTGGTTTCTTGCAAATTAATTGCATGTAAAATTGTCTCTCTTTTAGATGTCTCTTCAAATATTTATAGATGTAAAATCTAACTGTTAGGAGACGTTACATGGAAGTTACCGATAGTTTAAAACTCAACTTCCATAAGATATATCTTAAATTATATATTTATCATGGAAAAATTAATTACGTAAATCATGTTGATCATGAATATACTTACGTAATATAAACCTTTGTAAGGTGAACCGCATGCAAAATAACTTAGCAATATATATATATATATATATATATATATATATATATATATATATATATATATATATATATATATATATATGTATTAATTTTGCTAAGCATAAATGTGCATGGATGTTTGGGACTTTGGAATTAATAGCTCACGTGTTGTTTATGAATTAAAGTGAAGAAATCAATTTGGCAAATAATTAGCCGAAACCAATTCGGCAAACATAACTCTCTTCACATAAGCCGTAAAAATTCCAATCGGAAGCTAAATTGAAGAACGGTGAATTACGATCCTTCCGGAAGACATGTTTTAAAAATTTCCGAAAGTTTATCGTCCGCAGTTCTCCTTTTCGAACTTTTTCAGACCTTCTGAAATAACATCTCTCCATACTTTGTATTCCCAACTAATTCTCTACGAAACTAAAATAATATTTATAACTACACAACTCCAAATATTATTTAAGCTTTCATGGTAGCCCATCTTAACCATTATTCTCCATTACTATATTTATTTTCAACACAATAAACATGCCAAGTCTATTAAACTTTAACGGTTCAAACCTCTAGTTCAGTAAAGGAAAATAACAAAATATAACCAAAGGTTTGTCCTTTTAGCAACCAAAATTGCTGGGATAAACATCTGTGTATATTTTTGTTTTGTGTACAATCTACATCCTCTTAAAATTCCAAACACAGAAACTTTTATGTGCAAAAGCCCTCAACTCTGTTAATTAACACTATAAAAGTTAGAAATGAAAAACTTGCAATTAATATGAACTCACTCTGTATATGCAATCATTGTATGTTTTTAACAGAAACACAAGAATTGTTGTTTTCATCTTCTTCTATCACATAATAATTCATTTCAGATTCGCAAGCAGCTTATGTATATATGATCAGACATTATTCTTCTAAAAAAATGTACATGCACTCAACATACTACGGTAGAAAACTAAAAGTCCCGTTATTGTCCATGTGTGAATATACAGAGGTGAAATTTTGCACCAAATTACTGTCAGAGCATAAACCTGAATATTAACTTTTGGCACATTCAGTGCCTCTTTGTTTCAATCTCTTTGTCTCTTCACCTCATGAAATGTGTTTGAACATGAAAATTAAATTAAGCATCAGAAAAGTTTTACCCCTAGTACACCATTATCTAAAATATAAAAAATGTTTAGGGAGTATGACTTGAGGGAGTAAAATGGGGAGTACCAATACAAGGCATGTGCAATCTCTGAAAACTTTGTACAAAGAATAGACATAAAATGATAAACAAATTGCAAGAAGTACAAATGAAAGGGTGAAGTCTATAGAGTACAGTATGGCAGCCTCAGAAGCAACAATGCACAATAGTAAAAAGTCATTCCAAGCCACCTAACCCAAAAACTTTGTGACTTTTAGTCTTGCTGAAATCTACTTTATATCATAAAAGATTTGATGCACTGCCGACGTTGTATAGGTGCTATACAACGGCGGTGAACAAGAACGCGCCACCTCATTAAATTGTAAAGTCAACTTTTACTGAACCCTTTTATGCAAATTATAATAATCTTAATATAGTATAATGATAATTATTTTCTTTTATTAAAAATAATTACCATAATCAATTAAGTACTTATGAATTTGCTTGTAAGGACTTAAGCTCGGTCACTATTTTTAACTTGATGAGGATCAATTACATCTACTTGTAAGGACTTAAGCTTTGTCACTATTTTTAACTTGATGAGGATCAAATTCATGAGTATTTGGTTAGTGTAGTGTTTCATAATCCCCTTAACCATACAACCTAATAAGGACTTAAGCTTAGTTACTATTTTTAACTTAAAAGGCAGTAATCAAGTTTTTTTCTCAAATAACATTAGTTCCGTACTTTTCTATTTAGTATGAGGATTTTCCATATACTCCATATTTTATCATCATCCCACATCTACTTCGTATAAAACAGCACCTTCATCAGTGTATTATGATATGAGCAAAAGTATGCATCAAATTTCAGTCAAGAAGGCCAAAATAGACAAAAAAAAAAAGTTTCAAGGAACAACCATCAGTGCACAAAATACAAAAAATTATGATGTGATCCATGGTGCAAGATTTGTCGTTGTAAGCCTTCGAGTTTTGCAGTAGCAAGCCGAGCTCCACGCACAGTTCTTGTATGTTGGGTTGATTGGGTGTTTGGGTAAGGTTGTGAGGGTTATGGGGTTTCTTTTTGTTGGTTTTTTAAAGATAGCATCGGCCACACCTGGTTTATGGTGATACGAGGAAGTTTTAGACGCCACAAAGGGAAAACCTTTGATAAGTCAAAAGAACCTTGAAGAACTCAAGGAGGAGAGCAATCTTGTTGCCAAAATAATTTTAACGTAATCTGATTTCCCCTAGAAGTTACATTGTTTTAAGCTATCACATGTTGTGCCAAGAAATTAGGCCAAATAATCAGCAAAAGACTAGGGAATACAAAGTTGAATAGGAAACAGAAAAGATAATCAAGTCTAGCCTAATAAGGAGGAGCCCTAAACTGCCAGGACTCTTTATCTAACTTCCCGTGAATGCAGCTCGAACCACCTTCCGTAACCAAGCTCGGCTCAACCTAATAGGAACCAGTACACATGGAATCCAGTATGGGTAAATAGTGGGCTCATCACAAGGCCCATAACTACGACCTTAAAACATCATTGGTGGAACAAACAACAAAGACCAATAATAAGTCCATTCGGTAGAGGAAAATATTATAGTGGCCAATTTCAAGTGATATCAGGGATCGAAGACAATGCTTACAAGATTCGAGGTCGAATCATTTTCAAGAAGGCGAGGATGATGCGGCCCAACGTATGAAGATCCATTAAGAGTACTAATTGGGCCAATCACAAGGCCCAAGTCCAAACAATTAAGGCAACTCTTCATTGGTGATGTTCAAAGATGGTGGAAATCCAAGTCAAGCCCATTTGCAAAATATGAAGAAGAACTCAAGGCTTTTTTATAATTGTTTAAGTGCTGATTTTGGTGATTAAATTAGGCCCAAATCAGCCCTATTATTTTTGGCCATCATTAATTTAAATTGTTTGGCATAAAAGAGAAAACACTAGTTGTATTTAGAAAGGATTCCTTAAATCCTTTTCTAAATAAAACTCTATTTACTTGTTTTCTAGATTAGGTTTAGGACTCTTTTTCCCATTGTATTTAGATTACAATGCTGTCCTATACCTATAAATAGGGCACATCCATATCAGTTTTAAACAGGCTTTAATTCAATAAAATTCTTAAGTTTTTCTTTACACTTGTGTAAGAAACCTTATGGCTAATTATGGACTCAATTAGTGGCTAGTCGTGGACTCGAATCAATCTTACTTTCTTCAACCTTAGATTTAGGTTCGTGGACTCGTTCTTGAATCGAAGGAAACTAGATCCGACTCTAGTTGATTGAAGATTGCAACATCGAGGTAATTGAAGCTACATGGGATTCTTCTAAGTCTTTGAGGATTCGAGACAAAGGGTTTCTCGTGAGGTCTAAGGTATTTTGTTCATATCACAACCACTGTATTATTGTTCAGAGAGTCTCCTTTCAGCTCATATAAGGCTTGTGACGCGAAAATGAGTGAGTTGACGCGCACGGGCCTTAAATTATTGTTGCGCCAGATTTTCAGCAACTTTGTAAATTGACATTGAATGTCTAATTGCAACCTAGCCCCATTGTAGACACTTGGGGTGACAATTGGTCACAAATATGAAACAATTTAATTAAAATGGACACCAATTAAATTGATCACACGGCCATCATGCCCATCCGAATATCCAACCTCAAAATTGGCTTGTATGAGCGCACTCACAGAATCTTGCAACCTCCTAGCTCTAGCCCGCGTTGTAGGACCATCCAAAACGTGTTATCCTCAACAAATTATGTCTGAAAATGTAATGGGAAAAAATAACTAAGCTTTTATGCGTATTCATTGATGATTTAATTAACTTTACAAGTTTAAATTTAACATGTCAAGATTTAAGTTAATTGATAATTATAAAAGTTTAATTATTATAATATGTTATTAAAATAATATATTACATAAAAAATGATATTACATAACATGTCTAGAACTCTTTAACATTGCGCACAACTCGACTGAAATTTAAAGTCCCGTTAATGAACAACAATTTTTCCAACTATAGAGTATAAAATAATAGTAATTATTTTTATTTTTCACATACTATGCTCTTGTTGAAAAAAAAAATTTATTGATTACATAAAGAGATTACATTATTGCATAACATTTACAAAATGAAATAACAAAATATAAAACAATTGATTTACATAAGCCAAGAAATTTATATTATTTAAAAAAAAAACATAAATATAAAACAATTGCCTTCAACCTCCAATGGCTATTTAAAAAAAAAAAAAAAAAAACTCTAAAGTTCCGGAAGGAGGCCACGTTTGTCGTTGCCTTCTCCCAGAAGAAGGCAACTGCAAATGTTGCCTCTTCCGTTCTGGATGAAGGCAACCGCAAACGTTGCCTCTTCCGTTCTAGAAGAAGGCAACAACAAACTTTGCCTTCTTCTAATCCGGAAGAAGGCAACGGTAAACGTTGCTTCTTCCATTTTGGAAGAAGGTAACGACACATGTGACATTTCTTTTGCGAGACCCGGTTCAACATGTGACCTCCATGCAGTAGCCAAGCTCGAGAGCAACAAATTGAAGTAAGAGAAGTGCGGTACGGCGGCAAGAGATATAAGAGAGATAAAGATAGAGATGGGGGCGGTTGGGGCCTGGTGGTGGTGGCGGTGGTGATGTTCATCCTACTCTCGCCGATACTTCTGGTGGTTTTAATACTGTAGGGGCATCAAAGAGTGGGGCTAGTCATAAGAGTGTACTCCAAGGATTTATGATGAGGCCTCTTTCACTGGCATGCTAGAGCCATCCTCAATAATTGAAATACATTCATGTCTATTTTTTCTTGTAAGTTTATTTTTGTGAAGAGATCCATAATGATTCTTCTGCAGAACCTGGTAAAAGAAAATCAAGAAAATCATTTTCTCAGTAAAGTCATAATCAAGTGATAGTTTTCAAATAAAAAATAGAAGCATTAGTTAAAGATAGAATAAGGAGATTAGGATAGCAGGATAGATTATGTAACCATGGTGTTGTAAAGGAGAAAGAACAGGTGGTGTTGAAATTGGAATATACATAATTCCCTTTGCTTCCAAATGCATTCTGAAATTCTATACATAAGTGGAAAATAAATCAGAACACAGAAATCAGGTAGATGAAACACCAGAATAATTGGGAAACCCATCCTCTTAACCATTACAACAATAATCGTTTCTTTTTCTTTTTTTTTTTTTAAAAAAAAAATCCAAACCTCTCCTTTCCTCCTCCCATTTGAGGAACCAGAGTGGTGGGGATGAGCAATGTAGTGCTGAAACTCAAGCAATATGGCATCAGCTGCAACCACAATTAAAATATTCTTCCATAAAATGTTCAAAGCCTAAGTCAGATACAAAGAATCCCCGTGCGTAGAATAAGCCAAATGCTAACCAAATATAAAGGAGGCAGTTCCAAAGTTGACGAAAAGCAACCATAAAAAAGTAATGCAGAGAGCGATTAGGATCGCAGTACTTACAGATTCCCTAATAGGAATTCCATTCTTGATTGAACTTTTTCCAATGAAACCTTCCATCCTGGTGTTACCATCTACAGGTCCACAAGCAGAATACATGCAATCCTGCACATAGAAACTGGTGTAGAGGTTGATTGCGATAAAATTCAATCCTGTTTTTAGCTTTTCCAAGTCTTCTGATGAGAATTCTGGTAAAAGCGATCCCAAAATGTCTTTCATGATATCTCCCATATATGATTGGGTCCAAGAACCTACCTTTGTACATGAGAACTTAGTTAGCTGTTTCTTGGAAATAAGTCTCAGAAAAAGAAATATGGAGAGATTTGAAAACATAATTGTAACACCCCCGATTTTACCAAAATTTAAAAGCTTAAATTAAAGGAAAAGAAAACTAATTATCCATTACGGTAAAGCAGAAGCAAAGACTAAATACGGAGGTGCTATGCCACACATATCTCAACATAGGTGCACATGCTAAATCTAAACCAAAAGTCAATAACAAGGTCATAGGAAATAAGGCACACAGGCCCTAAGTCTAAACAAGGGAAAACACGAAGAACTACGCTATCTAACGGTCCACTAGCGCGCTCTCCAAAGCTACTCATAACCTGTAAAAACATAGGGATAACACCCGTCAGCGAAAGATGCTGGTAACCCACCAATACGCGTTAAGTACATAATATCTAGATATTATAAAACCATTTGAGACAGAGGAATACAGTATGTATCATTTAAAACCAAGAGGGGGAACATCAAGAGACTCAACAGAACACTCTCAACAAAGACCAACCATCAACAACAATCAACAAGTCAATAAGGACAACAAGCAACATACTCAACAATAGACGCAACCTACCATAATCAAGGTAGAGTTCCCGATAGTCATGCTCATAAGCAATAAATACAATAAATCACATAATGACAAATATCAAGTTCCAACTTTATGCCCCGTTCCACCCTTATGGCTACCCCCGGCCTTATCTCAATTCCAACCTGTACCTCCGAGTGCCACCCTGTACTTCTGAGTCCAATCTTATTCCGCCTGGGACCGTCGTCCCCCGCCAAACTGCCGCCAAACAATACCGCCGAACTCTCAGTACACGAGGGTACCATTAAATATCATAGTCACATACCGCCGAACCCATGAGCAAAGCTCAAGTCACAATACCACCAATCTCATTCATAGTAACACATAGTCATCATCAAGAGGATTGAGGCTCATCAATAGCCCAATCAAGTATCAACAACGGGTACAACAAATGTACAATATCACATCATAGAAATCAATCAAGAGGTTTCAATGATAGACATGAAACGATACTCAACAACAACAATGGACTTCAATCCAATATCAACATGATTGGCAACTTGCAATCCTCAAAGGAATTGACAACCAACACATACTAGCATCAACGATATCAAATCTACCATGCTCATCAAACGGGTAAACCAAAATGGTTCCAACGAACCTCAAAGACTCACATAAATCCAACGAATCACAAAGTTGGACTATTAGCACAATTCAAGACGCCAAATCCTAACATAGATACTTAGGACATCATTCAAGACATACGAAACATCAAAGAGACACACAAAAGCTCACAATCCAACAAAGGGAGGCCAAAACATCACAAACCAAAGGGTGGAACCACGGGAAAACAACACCCGTCATGACCCCACCTGTGTACCCCGCGGGTGGAACCGCGAGTGGGTCCCTACCCGCGGCTCTGCGCGCTGGATACACCTCTCCACCCGCGGGTGGGGCGACGGGTGGACAAGTGCCCGCCGTTCCGCCCGCGGGGAACATCCTGTGCACAGAACGATTCCCTTCGGGGAATTTCATCTCCAAGGTCAAGTTCAAGTCCAAAACACCTCAAATCTCACATACAACAAGGAAATGACTTGAACCCATGAATAGATCAAAAGATAGCATTTAAGAAACCTAGATACAAGCTCTAAACATGCATTATCACAAGATTATGCATCAAATCTCACATTAACACTAAGAATCATCAATAGAAGTCAAGAATCATCAATAGCAAGTAGAAAATAGGTTTTGTATAGCATGATTTACCTTTGTAGACCAAAAGACTTTTTCCTTTTCCCTCCTAAGCTTCTCCTTGAAGCTCCTCTTCAACAAAAACTTCTTACACAACCAAAACCACAAGAAAAACACTAATCTTAGATAAAGACTAGGTAAAGCTAACTAAAAACACCAACTAATCCTAGATCTTACCCTTCCTTAAACTTGAGAGATGGAAAGGTGGAATCTTGGAATGATTCCTAGCAAGGATGGAGGAGATTTTTCTTGGCTTGGGGAAGAAGCCAAGTTCTCTTAGAGAGAAGGTAGAGAAAGGTTTTCTTGCCAAAGTGGGGAATTGAGATTCAGGCTTGATAGGGTAAGGATTCAAGACCAAGCAAGTGGGAAAAGACCATAATGCCCTTACTTTCCCTAGAAAAGCCTAGGAAGACCCCAAAGAGTTAGGTACAACAATCAAAGCCAAAGGTACCCCTTTTTGACTTAAATCAATTGACCAAGGAGTTGGTCAATTTAAGTCCTGCGACTATCAATTTGGGAAATTGATAAGAAAGTCCACAAGGATGGTATTTTCGGGGTGTCACAATAATATTGTTTCGGAAAGTCTGAAAAAATCACGGAAAAGAAAAATTACGAATGATAAATATTGGAAGTTTAAATCAAATCTTCCGTAAAGGTTTACTGAAGGTTTTGATTTATAAAAGCCATTATTTATCGCTTGAAAGTTTACCGGACGGTCATTCTTCACTCTATCTTCCGATAGGAAATTTTGTTTCGGCTAAAGGTGATTATTGCCGAATTCTTTTCGGCTGAGGAGTATTTGTTGCGTTTTTAATCAACATAGTACATGTGCTTTCAATTCTCAATTTCCATGCAAAAGTTTGGGTTTATAATTTACCAGTTTGAAAAGAAGGCTTGACCTCTATCTGCTGTTAACTTGTATTCTGTGGAGTTGCTTACTGGTTCAAACCAATATGTCTGTGCAGCAAAACCTATTTGTCCTCCTTGTTCTTCCTGGATGTCCAGATTTAAATCTTTGTTAAGAAGGAAAAATTTGTTTTTTTTTGGCTCACAATGCTCCCTTCAGTCGGAAGGGCACACCCTTATTCTACACTGAAATAACATGGCTAGCTAAACCTGGGATAGATAATTTTTCATTAGAATTACCACAAAAGAAATGACGGCCTCCAACAACTATGGCCACCTAGAGTATTAGAATGCAGAAACTTATTTAGAAACAACACATCTTGAATTATACCTCTACGCCAACACGGCAAACAATAGAACTTTCTCTAGCAATCAGCATGGCCACCTATGCAGTATGGAAACGGGAGATCTGCAATATATACGTACCGGGAATGAAACACCAGCGGATTGCCATTCCGGAATACTGAGTGATACGTACACCAGTGAAGTCTTGCAAAAATATTGACCAGCGGCAAATACGGGAGCGGAAGACCAGCGGTAGATGAAGTCTTCCATACGTAGATGTGTGAACCGTCCAATGTTCTAGACTTTATGCTGCAAATGAAAGAAAAACATAAATAAACAATACATATATACCAGCGGTAGATGAAGGCTTGCAACTCCCTCTAGTATCTCCTCAGATTTCAGCAGACTGGCACCGACTGCCGCTAGCCAGCAGCATAATAACACTCAGATGGAAACAAAAAAAGTCCAAATTTTTTCAAAGCCTACACGCACGTAAATCTATACCTTCACAAATTAACCCAGAAAACATAATAAAAATCAGATCTCAAGTAAAATAACGCCAAATTTTAGATAAATATCAAAGTTTAACCAGACAACTGGCAAAATGCTCTACAAATTAGCCCCAAAATAAATAAATAAAAAGAAACTTCTTTGACTTTGATATGGAGGCAGAGCTGGAAGATCTTTCACTGCTAGAAGGAATAAATTTGGTTGCAATGGAACTGACATGTGCTTGCTCTTGCATTTTACTCCAAGCTATAGAAATAAATAGAGGAGAGAGAGAGACAGAGGGAGAGAGAGAGAGAGAGAGAGAGAAATCCGAAATGGATATACCGCTACCTGCTATGTTGTTATTCTTCACAGGGATGGGCGGATAGACGGACGAAGCTGCCGACTGCTGTCGACCCAAAACGGCCAGTGGTCGGCAGTGGCAACTGTCGAGTGACGACATGCGATCAGGACCGACAAGCAGAATGATGAAGCTGGGGAGTGGTCCGCTGGTTTTTCTATCTATACGTATGCATAATATATTTTCATTTCACGGAGTAAAAAGAATTGGGAAAGTTGTTGAATTGGCAAAGTTGGAACACAAAAGTCAATAAATCTGACAAAGCATGGCCACTAACAAGAGGTAACGTGCAACAATTACCAACTCTGACAAAGCATGGCCACCCAAACAGTAAAAAGGAACACTCTCGGTGTACCTCACAAGCCGGATACAAGTCGGATTTCGAACGGCCGATACGTCAGAAGGGCACATGAGGAATTTCATATTGCAACAAAAGGGTAGATGAGGAATTTCATGTAGCAAGGTCCAACCATTAAAGCACAGAGTACAAGAAAAATCGCCTAAAAATGTCATGGGCATTTATCACCGAGACTTCATGCGTGTATATATGTTAGTAATAAAGTGTAATGGTTTTGATATGCCAAATTTGTATTTGTAGAACCCCCAATTTTATTTGTTTAGGTCTAGTAGAGTCTTGGACCATGATCGGGAAATTATTTAATTAGCAAAAGAGAATAACAGAGGAAGATGCATGAAAATAGAAGCAGAAGATATCAAGCCTAAATCGAAGAATTTGTCTGGTGAAAATGACAAATTGAAGAAGAAGATGAATGATATGAATTTCACGTCGATGCTACTCAGAAAGATTTCCTAGAATAATTTTCGTTGAAGAAAATCAAGATTTGAAGTTTGCATGAATTTGACTTGAAGATCAAGCATCTATGGAAAGAAGGGAGTACATCAAAGAAGATTAGAGATGTAACCAAATGATTGTACGGACGAGTTGGAAGATGCCTGATATATTATACCAAAGGGCTCATATTTGAATCTCACCATCTACAATTTACAAGTTGTAGTATGGGATGCAATTTCATAATTGGATCACCAATTTCATTTGGTAATCACACACTTGCTTTATTTATTTCCGCTGCGTACCATACTCTAACAATCTAGTTAAGAGTTTTGGTTTCTCTGTGCCTTAGCAATTGTTGTGCTGTGCGAAAAAGTTTAAAAGTCTATTCACCAACCCCCCCCCCCCCCCCCCCCCACTCTAGACTTTTACCTTACCTCTTTTGGTACTAACAATTGGTATCAGAGCACGTTGCCTATTTGGGTCAGCATGTTTCTGACTACTAGGCAGATCCATTCTACAAAGTGTGTGATTGGATTAATCTTTCATATCTCTCGTGAAAATGATGAAGAAAGATTTAGCTCAAAATCTATTATTCTCACTTGATGAATTTGATGATTGGAAAATTCGTATGCAGGTACACTTATCGGCTTTACACGATGAAATGTGGGAAGTTATTTCCACTGGCCCTATCGAAATATTGAAAACCAATACAGCATTTGTCCGATCACCGGATGCTCCACTGTACGTAGAAAAGCTAAAACCGGAATGGACATCGGATGATGAAACACAGAATAATCTTGACAACATTGCCAAGGATATTCTATTCAAAGCCGTGGATGATACAATATTTCCAAAGATCCGAAAGTGTGCTATAGCTAAAGAAATCTGGGAAACTCTCATCAAGATTGGTGAAGGAGATGAACAAGAGAAAGACAATAAGCTCACAATCGCCATGAAGAAATTTGAAGATTTCAAAATGCTCTCAATTGAAAGTGTTGCAGATATGGAAGCTCGAATGATCAAAATTCTTGGAGAGATTAATGATCTTGGCAAAAATATTAGCCAAAAAGAAATTAATCTCAAAATCTTACGAGGCTTACCATCTGCATGGGATATGAAGGTTACGGCTATGCGCGATCACCGAGATCTAAGAATGTTGTCAACAGACAAATTATTTAGTGATCTTAAAGCATATGAGTTCGAAATGAAGGGCAAAGATGATGAAGTTCATGAAGCTCGAAATTATGCTCTAATGGCCGAACAACCGTCAACCTCCAGGTCAAAAGATAATATTGATTTTATGACTGACGAACAGTTTGTTCTTTTTGTTAAAAAATTCAAAAGGTTTATGCGAAAAGGAGACAACAAGTATTCTTTACGTGGAAATCAAAAATCTACTCCTCGCACGTCACAAGAAGAAAAATTCAAAGATTAAAATCTATTTTACAATTGCCGCAAACCCGGATATTTTAAAATGAATTGTTCGTACCCGATCATTAGCAAGTATCAAGGCAAAAATGTTGAATCTATGCCGAATAAATCCGAAAGCAAAAGGTTTAAGCGCGACAAAAGAAAAGCTCTCGTTAGCAACGTACCAAATGAAAATGATGAGTCAGATGGATTGTCATCAAGCGATGAAAGCTCAAGCTCAGAAGATGACACGGCTCTAGTATGCAAATCAATTGAGTTGAGTTCAAGCGAAGATTGCTTTATGGCTCTTGGAGCAGAGGAAGAAGAGGTAACATCTAATTCTTTCAATTCTGTTAGTTCCTCTTTTTCTCGTGAATCAATTGGCAGTATAATGCGAGATTGTCAAGAAATCCTGCTCACTCATTCTCAGCTCAAGGAGCGCAATAATGTTCTAATTCTTGAAAAAGAAGAGATGAACACAAAGTTGCAAAATGCTTTACTTGAAGTGAGTAAGTTGAAGAGTGTAAAGCAAGAGAGGTTAGAGAACATAACCTTCGGGCTACCATTGCTACGTTCACTAACTCGTCCAAAATAATGGATAAAATGATGAGCATGCAAAAGCCATCAGGAGATAGAACCGGACTCGGTTATGACTCCACATGTTCTCAAACCCCTCAAAATCTGACTAATTTTGCTACTACTTTAAATAATAAAGTTCAAGTGGTAAAATTTGTTAAGAGTCAGAATAGAACGATGAGACACAGATTTGGCTATCAAATAAATACAAAGAATGTTGAAAGGACGAAACAATTCTATACTACGGCAAAGCAACAAAAATTCTTCAAGCAAAGATATGCCAAAGAGTCAAGTGCACAAAGATTTCATAGAAAAGAGGGAAGCTTTTCTAGAAATAGAGTTGGGAGATTTTATCCCACTCAAAAGGATTGGTTGTATGATAGATTTAATGCTTTTTATAGACCAAAGCAACAATCCTCTTCCCATGTGCCAAAATATAAAAATGTTTTTCAAAACCCGGCGCCAAAAATGTTCTCTAGAGTGAGTTATGATTATCGTGTCAATAATGGTAACAAATCACCTTATCTTAATTCAATAGGATCAAGGGGGGTTTGGTTACCGAAAATTACTAACAGCAAAGGACCCAAGCAAGTATGGGTACCTAAAGTTAATTAATTTTTTTTGTAGGATGTTTGGTACATCGATAGTGGTTGCTCACGCCACATGACTAGAAATAAATAATATCTAGTAAATTTCAACGAAATCGATGGACCAAAAGTTATATTCGGAGGAAATCAAAATCATGGAATTACAAAAGGAGTTGGCACAATCAAGAAAAATGGATTACAGATTGAAGATGTTTCATTCGTAGAAGGCTTGAAATTCAATTTGTTGAGCACTAGTCAATTTTGTGATAAATGCTATCTTGTGGAATTTTCTAAAGATAATTGCCTAATAAAAAATGAGCTCACAAATGAAGTTGTACTTACTGGAAAAAGGAAAAAGAACATGTATGTTGTTAATTGGAGTACAAGCAAAGATTCAATGTGCTTAATGGCGAGAAATTCGAATGAAGCAAATTGGGAATGGCACGGAAAGCTCAACTACTTAAACTTCAAGACTATCAATCAACTGTTTTACGAAGAAAAATCTAGTTGAAGGCTTACCAGATATTATCTTCAAGAAGGATCAAGTGTGTGATGCATGCCAACGCGGAAAGCAAATCAAATCATCATTCAAGTCAAAAACACACGAGTCATCATCAAGACCGGTAAGCTTACTACATATGGACTTATTTGGACCGGTCGATCCGATAAGTGTAAGTGGTAAGAAATATACACTCATTGTTGTTGATGATTTTTCCAGGTACACTTGGACCGTGTTTCTCAAGAAGAAAAATGAAGTTGAGAAAGTTCTACCGAAGCTGTTGAAGCAACTCCAAAATGAGAAAGAATTGCAAATATCAAAAATTCGAACGGATCGTGGAACCGAGTTCGTGAATGGCGTTACACAAGCTTTTTGCAATTCACAAGGAATTTCTCATCAATTATCTGCCGCGAGAACACCACAACAAAACGGTGTTGCCGAAAGAAGAAACCGGACGCTCAAGGAAGCCGCACGAGTGATGATTAGTGCAGCCGGTCTCCCGAAACGATATTGGGCGGAAGCTATCAATACTGCTTGCTACACGCAAAATCGGAGCATGATCCATAAGCAGTACAAGAAGACGCCACATGAGCTATATAAAGGGAGAAAACCAAATATTGGTTATTTTCATATTTTTGGATGCAAATGCTTTATTCATATTAATGATAAATTGCATTTAAAAGCTTTTGATGAGCGTGCAGATGAAGAAATTTTTCTAGGATATTCGACTACCAGCAAGGCGTTCAGAGTGTTGAATAAAAGAACAATGGTGGTTGAAGAATCCATACACGTTGTGTTCGATGAAAAATCACGAGTCAATGACACACTGGGCGAAGAAATTGAACAAAATGGTAACAAGTGTCATATTGATTTTTGTGATACTAATGATACATGTGAAGATGATGTTTTGCAGGGAATGGATGAGTTAGAAATTAATTCTCTAGATAATCCCATCCATCATCCAGAAGAAGTTGGAAATACATTAAATAATTTTGGAGGTGAAGCTACATGTGAGAATAGAGATGCAGTACGGGTTGAAGTTGGAGATCCAGTTGGTGATCAAGTTAGAGGTGAAGTTGGTGATCAAGTTCAAGAAGAATTAAATAGAGAAA